CGCTCGAAGCCGCTCATCGCGCTGACGCTGCGCAGGAGTCGGCCGCCGGCTGGCTCGGCCTGCTGGTGCATCGCCGAATGGCAGAAGCAGAACGGCCAGAACGTGCAGCCGGCGTTGCAGATTGTCGGGGAGAACGTCTGGCTCGGCCCGGCCTTCAACACGTACACGAGCAACGTGCGCGCGCTGCCTTTTGACCATCACATGCTCGCCGGTCTCGTCGCGCCTCGCGCGCTGTACGTCATGGAGAACTCGGACATGGAGTGGCTCGGCTGGACTGCGACGTACGGCTGCATGGGCGCTGCGAGGAAGCAGTGGGAGGCTCTCGGTGCCCTGGACAACTTTGGCTACAGCCAGGTCGGCGGCAATTCGCACTGCTCGTTCCCAGCGGCCAAGCAGGGGAGCGAACTGACAGCGTTCATCAACAAGTTCCTGCTGCAGTCGGGCGGTGGCACGACGAGTATCTTCCGGACGGAGAAGAACCATGGCAGCTTCAACTTGAACACGTGGGCTTCGTGGAGCGTGCCCACTCTGACGTGATGCCTTCGCATACAGTGTTTCAAGCATTTTGTCACGTCAGGCAGCGTAGCCAACGGCTGGAGCGTGTGATGAACCGTGGTGTGTACTTCACTCTGGAAGTGGCATGAATAAGGAGCTGGCGTGTAGCCGCATTTGAATAACATTGGCATCTGTGCGAACGACACCTGGATAATGTAAACATTAGTCGTTCATTGATTCCGTGATGAGATTCCTCTCGAGCTGTGGATCGTTATGTTCGATGTTGTCTTTCCGTCCATTCTGCAGACCCCAGCATCGTCTCATGTGTCCTCTTCCAAGCTGTCGATTGCGAGAACACGAGCCCTTATCCGCCTCAATCCTCTAGGTCTTCCTGTCGTGATCCGTGCCGGGGCCGTCCAGACTGCGGCGTGCGTTGTCTGCCACCCCCATTCGTATTGGCTCTTCGAGTACCCGCATCTGATGCTGACCGTGATCGCTTCAGCCCGCTGCCCGGGAAACACCCTGAATCATCGTTGACCTCGGCTTCGATCTTCTGCACACAGGTCCTCCAATATCGATCAGATTTCCAGTGTTCGCTTTCCTTGATCCCAAACAGTGGGTCCGCGTCAGCACCTGCGCATTTCCTCCACGAAGCCAGCGCCCCCTTGGCGACGAGGCACGCTGCAGCACAAAGCAATGAGGGGAAGGCGCGCCTATTAGCGCGCCGGCCCCCCGCGACGCGAGTCGACCAACCGTGGACAATGTCCACGATGAATCTCTCCCAGAGCTGGCGGCCGGCCGCATCTTCCGATGACAAGACTTCTGGAGTCAACAAAAGCAGGTACGCCTCGAATTGCAGGTGGGTGCTCGATGCGGGATGAGAAGAGAGACACGAATCAAGCGAGAGCGCTGAGAAGGCTCTGTCGAAATTGAAGAATATCGTTTCGGCTGGCGTGTAGCCCTTGTTGTTTTGAATAGGAGCACTGGCGCACTGTTTCTGCAGGAAACAGACGGCTTCGGAATCGGCAGCAAAGTTGATCAAATGGAGGGCCGAGTTCCCATTTCCGTCCAGAGCGTCCATCTTGACATTGCCTGACTGTAGGCAAGCTTCCATTGGCCCCATACGCCCCCATTCAGCAGCGACGTGGATCAGAGAATAATCAGAAGCTTGCAGATAGGAGGGTTCTGTCTTGCAGAAGGAGAGGAGCTTGTCGAGACAAAACTCGGCACGGCGGTGGAGCGCCTCGCCCCAAATGTCGGTAGGGCCATCGGGATCGACCTTGGTGAGCTCAAACAGAACGTGGATCATGGCCTGAGCAGTTGGCGTGCGGCCGCCGCGCATGCAGACGCCCAAGCTGGTCTTCATGTGCGGGTCGTGTTCCACCAGCCACTCCAGCATGCCGCGGTCAGAATTGGCGGCGCATATATGCCATATGTTCTGACCTTGGTCGTCGACGTCGTCCAGACGAGCACCGTGGCTGACCAGGAAGGCAAGGGTGGAGACAGATTCACAACGCATGACGGGCGTCTGACCCTCGTCGTCTCTGATGTGTATGTCGGCGCCCGAGTCGACGACTGCTTCAATCATGTCTATCGAGTCGTCCACGACGAGCGAATGTAGAATCGGCGAACCGTCAGAAGTCCGGATTGCATCAGGCTTCCACCGGGGGTCCTGGATCAGCCTTAGAACGACCGGCTCTTCATAATGGCGCAGCGCTCGTCTGGCAATGTCTAAGAATTCGTAATCCTCGATGAGGGCAACCTGCGTCCTCGCTTTGCCGACCGTCATGTCAAGACACATCTTATTCATGACATCCCAGAGACCATTGAGAACCTCAGATGCGTGGACCTCCTCGAATTCGGGGAGAACTGTGTCGAATAGATAAGGGAGAGTCGTGCTGAGGAATGCTTTCGCGCGTTCGGAGTCTGGGGCACCCCACGGGACTTGGGTGTAAGATGCGTCCATTATGACTTCCGGCAAGCTTTCGAGATGCTCAAGAGAGAAGAAGTGCTGATACAGCTCAGTCGATCCCAGACGCAGGCAGACAAGAAAGATCAAGTTTGGTAACGAAAGCGGGGCCAGGACACTGTCAGACTCGACGTCGGTCCAGCACATGCTATTTTCGAACGCATAGAGAGTGTCCATCTGAGCGATGCTGGGACATGGCCACTGCACCATGTTCACAGGACTGTCCTTTTGGGCTAGCAATGCCATCGGCCCTATAAGAGCACAGTAGTATGGCGTCCCGAGGGGGCTTTGCCGGTTCTCGTCGAGATTTTGTCCGATCAAATGCTTGCATACTTGTGCGAGACCGAGGGCAGCAGCGACATGCAGCGGAGAGACAGAAGATTCGATGATGGTCGAGATGAGGACCAACAGGGACCTTTCTGGCGTTGCACTAGTCCCAAGGCCATAGATCTCGGGGTAGCTCTGCTGGCAGTACTCCAAGATCCAGTGCTGGAAGTTGCACGTCTTTTTCGCATGGAACAAGCGCAAGATTCGGTCCCCGAGCTGCGGCCAGTACTGTTCTGCGTAGCCTAACCAGGTTATACAGCCTTTGGAGTAGGAAGGAAAGTCAGTATTCCTTCTCAGGACCAACTGCCTATAGTCGTACAGACAACCAACCTTTTGGTCGAATTTGGAGCTCAATATCAGGTCCAGAGACGCCTTGACTTCCTCCAAAGAGTCTGCCGACTCCTGCTCTGTCTGCGGGCCCTGAACAGGAATGCTCGCCCTGTCTGGGTGCTCCTGGAACTGGACCGAGAGACACTTGACAAAAGCAACGAAGGTTTGCGCCTGTTGGGCAATGTCGAGGTGGATGCAGAGTGCTTGGAGCGTTTTCAAGACGTCCTGGGCGGGCTGTTGGGTCGACACCTGCCAGCCTGATAGGGCTTGTTTGCAGGCCTCTACGTGGGCGAGATCGCCGTCAACCCGGTTTGCCAGGCGACTCTGAATGGTCTGGCTCGGGTTTCTCAGGTCTTCGATCAGCATTAATGCTGTGTGGAGCTTTCCCGACGCGGCGCGAAGGAAAGTCTTGACAGGCAGATTCAGATGGTCCTGTCTGGAGAGCAAGGTTTGATGTGTGGACTTGACGAGATCCTGGACGCCAGACAGGTTCTCGACGAGCAAATCGACCGATGGTGAGTTATGGTGGTCCATTTTTGACGCTTCAATTGTTTGTGGCGATAGGGATAAATGAGTGAGGCGATAGATATCGTTTGTCAGATGATGTACGTGTCGTGGCCTGGTGAGGAGGGACACGAGACTGCGAAGAGCGGTGGTGTTTGCTGAAGATGATCATGAGGGCAGGTCATTGCTGACCCATGCATGATATGAAGCGGCGCCTTCGTTCGATGGGGGAATACGGGCATCCAATGTTTGGCTTCAATGGTGCGCGTCGAGATGAGGGCTTCACATCATCGTTGTGGCCGTATGACAAGGCTGAGCAGAGACGAGCAACTTCGTTTGGTTTGCACGCGTGTGCGCATGTGTGTCAAGAATCTGGAACAGGCAGAAGAAAGCTTACCTACCTACCTAGGTAAGACACACACACAAGGCTCGAGGAAGGATCGTTTGGCAGAGTGGGGTCCGGCTTTGACCGATGATGAGGCAAGTCAACCGAGGTTTCGCCGCTGAGGTCTTCAGAGGTTGAGAGGCAAGAGAGGCTTCTGGCCTCCCCACTGGCCTCCCCACTGGCACGAGAAGTCCCGTGCTCCGTGGAAGGAGGGGATCATTGTGGTCCTCCCCTTCTTTCTGCGGCATGAATTCATTGCGACATCACCGTCTCAGATACGACCAGTTCATCCAATGCATCAGTATCCGAACCACCCGAACCCCCGGCCGTGTTCCATCGAATGCAATCTCTCGACAACTTGACTTTCTAGCGGCGTGCCATGTCATGATGGTCTCCCTGTGTTGGCAGGCAAATCGCTGCATTGCAATGCGCGCCAGTCTGCCTCCCCCAGACCAGACCACGTGTACCTACGTTGAGGAAGTCAGACGCCAGCGTTCCGTTGCGAGCCAGTCACTGCTCTCGATCTAGTCATATCTCTATTCTCTCTCTCTTGTGTTCAGCGTCGGCTTCACGCCAAGCCTGTACCCGAACGACCTGTGCGCAGCGCTATCTCAACTAGCATACCGTGGCGGGAGATCGCCAGAGTCCTCTGCTGTCGATCAGCCCCAAGGTCTACCAAGGCAACCCCTGCCTGGTGCGTCTCAATCGGTCTTTGCCCATTTGTCCATCGATCGGTGCTCGGTTCTCTCTGTGCCATTCCCACCGCTCATCACTCACCACCCCCAGACAATGAAGTCTCGCGATTCTGGCATGGCCTAGCGGAGTCTTGCCTGGCAAGCCTGGGTCTTGTGGATGGCAGGGGCTGAGACATGGAGTCGTTCGACGACCAACGCGCGAGACCGACGTCCATAAGCAAGTGCGAATCATGGATCCAGAAGGGACAACCGCCACCTGGACGATCGACCAACAGTCCGTGGCTTGCGTTCGATTCAGCGGTCAACGGAGCAACGCACACGACAGCATCTGTGCTGCTGGCACCAATAACACGACAAGTGTGAAGGCATCGCTGAAAGCCCGGCGTCGCGCCAGTGGCCACTGCAGCACGACAAAGGCCGAGCCTACGCAGAGTGGCTCGAGCCTACGAGCGGCTCGAGTCCTTTTTCTCCTTCAGCCGGCTGAGCGTCCTGTGACAACCTAAGCCGCCTGGTCGTACACCGCTCCGCTCCTCCCAAACACCCAGCCTGTAATGACAGCCCCCGTGTTGGGGTTACCCCTGGGCTAACGACGCAGGCAACTGTCGCACCGACCCTCAGAACGATCCACTCCACCACCTGACGACCCGATAGCGCCGTGCTAGTAGCTCCACGTTCGTCGCGGCCCGTTGACATGTTCTCGACAGGTCAGTCCTCGCCCATGCTCGACACGGGCTACACTCTCCAATCGAGCATGGCACGAGTCGTGACCCCTTCCTCTTCACGTTGGCCAGCTACGTTACATAACATGGACGAGCCCGCCCCCTCATCCTCATCGAAGTGCTCACTCTCAATGCCGTGCACCCTTCCCACCGACCTGCTTTTTCATTTGTCTCGATCGATCCGGCGACACGGAAACAGTATGGACGCTTCTCGGTAACGTCCGAATACACTCGAACCCCGTAGGACTTCAGCAAACCTCAATGTCAGCACGACTTTGCTGATCATACCGCTCCTTCGCCTTTTTTTGTTTCGTCACCACGCTCTTTTCATCTACTTCGCATTTATTCTTTTTATTTTCCCTCGAGACCCAAACATGGGCTCTCATTATGACCCTCCCACACCTCCACGGGAGAGATCATCCCCTCAACTCGGCCCTGGCGGTTCTCGGGCACCGCCCGGGCTTTTCATTGACACCATGAAAGCCAGCCACGCACGCCCGCGACCTATGGTCGTCTCCCCCCCGCCGACCCCGCGAAGTGGAAGTGGGCGCCCGAATGAGCTCGCCATGCGGCTGAGAAGCAACTCGGGCCTTTCACTACACACCAACGAGGACGCTCTCCGGCGTTACACAGACTACAACTCGGATGGCTCACCCAGGTCGCCCACGTTCGGTCGTGTAGTCTGGGGTAGCATCGACGGCGTGGCGATCAAAAACGAACCGAGCAAGCCCGCCGCCGGCACTCCCACGCTCCTCACCACCGCCGGAACATCTGAGCAACCTCTCCCGATTCCCGACTTTTGGAGCAATGACACTTTTCAATCAGCTCTCGCCAATCCCCGCATTTGCCGGCGACTTTTGCGATTCGCTCAAAGTCGTGGATGTGAGACGGATGTCGAGTTTCTCATGCGTCTGCAATCTTACGCAAGCTCCCTTGAACACTTCATCGCAGAGGTGGCGACTGTGCCCTCACCAACCAACTTGCCATTTCCTGTTGCCAAGTCTCTCAACAGCGACATGAAGCATCTCAACACGGCTGTTTTGCCTGGACTCGAGAGCATCTTCGCCGAGTCCAAGTTCTGTGTGGAGCGCAGGGTCTGGAAAGACCTATACCCATCTTTTGTCAGGCACCAGCTGGTCTCCTGCGCAGGCTCGGCTTTCACCTGCGAGGAAGGACCACGCCCAAATGGATACCCCGGCCTCGGCGACGCGTTCTGTCTCATGAGTGCACAGGCTGCGGACAGCTCTATCATCTCAGCCTCCGACGGCTTCCTCGCGGTCACGGGCTACGGAAGACAAGAGGCAGTCGGGCGGCGCTACGACTTACTCCATGGTTCGCATACTGATAAGACTGCCCTGAGACGGATGCGGGAGGCTGTTTCTCGGGGACAAGCATTTTGCGAGCTCATGCTCAACTACAGACGAGACAGCTGGCCTTTTTGGAACCTTCTGTATCTGCTTCCCCTGACTACCACGGACGGGACGGTGCGGCATTACCTCGGCGGGCACATCAACGTGTCTGAGACAATCGGCAGCCAAGACGACATTGTTCGCGTTTTAAGCCACGACCCTGCGGATCTGGATCAAGTGGAGGACAGCAGGCTCATGCAGGATCCTTCCCTCGGACGTCGACTCAGTACCCGGGACTGCAAAGCAGACAGGCGATCGAGCGTGCGTCAACGCAGCGGAAGCAATGCGACGAAGGGCTTCTTCAAACAATTCAAGAAGGCCCCCACATCTCATGTATACAAGCAAGCCCCGGACTCACCTACGCTTTCGTCAGCGAGCACGTTAAATCTGACTGTGTTGCCGACTTCAGAGGATCTCTATTCGCGCTACATCGTTTTGCAGCATGCGCGGTCTTCCCGAGCCCCGTCGCCCGGTTCTGATAAAGAGAAGTCATGGCGACTTGACATTGCGTTTGCCTCACAGGATGCCCTGGCAATTTTAGGCATCGACCAAACTGTACAAGCCGTCACCCGGCAGGACATTTTTACCGTGCTAGCAGAGCACGCACAGTCGCCATCCGTTACGAAGAGTTTCCGCAACACTGTTCGCGAGCGCGTGCTGAGGGACGGCAGGCAAGCTGTCCTTGACATTGGGAAGCATCGCCCCAATCATCGGCGCAAACAGAGCCTCGTCGGTGGGCTCACTGGCCGCCCCAAGGATGAGACCAGGGAGGCGCCCAGGGAGAAGAAGCACAGCCGGCCGGGAAGCCGATCTGGCTTCGCGAGCTTTGTGGGAGTTGAGACGCCCAAGGCAGATGGCGTGATGAGTTACTGGACCCCCCTGAAAGATGGGGCAGGCGTGGTCGACTGGATCGTCGTCATGTTGACGCCCTCCTGACGCCGGCCGTGTACCTTGTTGGATCGGACGACTTCCTGTATCATGTTTGTATGACTTAACGATGGATAAGATTTATCTTGCTGTATAGCTAGTTGCTTAAGAATTGTACTTAATTGTTGACCTCATGGTCTATTTTCTATTCTCTTAGCTTATGCGCACCTTCGTCGAGCGGGACGTTGTATGGCAGTGTAAGATCCAGTGCTATTGCCCTGTCTTGTTTGCAGTTTTTATGCATTGTGGTCGTCGTTGCGTCAATGTCGACAAGACGTCCTATGTTCTCCACGGGTCTCTCACCAAAAGACGCATATGATAGATATGGACAGGTCATACAGCTGCCAAGCTGGACGATGGAGTATTCCATGCGTCTGGTCCCTAGGCTTCTTTTTCGGAGCCGAATTCCAGCGCAATTTCGAAGAAAGTTGAACGCATCCCAACAGCAGAAGTCTTACTTCTCGAGATTGATATGCGGGTATGATTCACGTCCTTCTAGAATTGTTGTCCCTCTGATCATTCATTAAACTAGTCCTCAGATTTAGAAAGTGGCGTTTCTAGCGTCAGTCAAGAGTATGACTTCCCCCATCTATTGTGCTTTCGGCTCATCCGCCGTAACTTGATGGACGACGTGTGTTGCTTCATAGACTCTATGCCTTGCTTAACCTTGTGAAGCCTTGATTAGACGATATCATTAATGCATTAAGCTTGGACTTCATGAGATCGACGCAAGGACAGCGGCTCGGGTTGCGAGAGGACGGTCTCTGGTGAGAGGCAAGATGTGGCCACGGCCAAAGTTGCTCTTACGGTCTTGACTGGTGCAGAGGCTGTCTTATTCGTGAGGGTTATGTCCAACAAAGCATATTTCTCCCGTCAGTTTGAAGTATTGCTTCTC